CATTGTGTCCTCTATAATAAAATCGCACTCTTTATCAAATGAGAAGAATAAATTGACTGGAATTTTCCAATCATGTCAACTTGGCAAAAGCAAGAAATTACCCTTTCCCCACTCATCCCGTCAAAGCACTTATCCTTCAGAAATAATTCATTCAGGTGTTTGGACTGCACCAATTACTTCTCTACATGGTTGCAATTATTTTGTTGCCTTCATAGATGATTTCTCCCGATTTACATGGATTTATCCACTTGCTCGAAAATCTGATGTGTTATCCTCTTTCATTAAATTTAAATGTGTGGTCGAAAATCTTCTCTCATAAGATTAAACAATTTCAATCTGATGGGGGTGGAGAATTTAATTCCACATCTTTTCATTTGTTTTTATCCCAACATGGCATTTTACATAGAAAATCATGCCCTCATACCTCAGAACAGAATAGTATTTCTGAGTGAAAATTGAGACACATCCTAGAAACTGGCCTTACACTAGCTCATTCTTGGCTTCCTAAAGAATTTTGGGTCAATGCTTTTACTACGGCGGTTTATCTCATTAATTGCCTTCCCACACCAGTTCTTGAAAATATCTCTCCTTACCAAAAGTTGTTCAATCAAGCCCTAGATTATTCGTTTCTCAAAAGCTTTGGTCGTCGGCGTTATCCACTTCTTAGACCATACACTAAACATAAACTAGAACATCGTACCAAAGCTTGCATTTTTCTGGGATATAGTGCTGGTCACAAGGGTTACAGATGTTTTGAACCTCTCTCTAGAAAATTCTACATCTCCCACCATGTGATCTCTGATGAATCTCTCTTCCCAGGACTAGATAAAGCTTTGCCTACTACCTCTTCACAGCACAAGGCTCCATCTGCAATAAAGGTGAGTTTCCCTGGTTAATCTCCTTCATCTATTATATCTAATTTTCCTACAGTTGACCTTACCTTGTCACTACCTAAATCAACTCCCCTCAGCACACCTATCTCTCCAACAACATCATCACCTCATTACTCCAATCAAGATCTCCCCCACTCACCTATAATATTCTCTCCCACCAAAACAAACAATGATATTTCTCCCTCTTCCAAAATAAATTCAACCAAAATATCATCTTCTCCATCAATACAATCCAGTGAATCAATGCCTATCGTGCCTTTCATCTTTCTCCATCCCGTGCAAACTAGATCACAGACAGGATCACCTAAACCAAAAACATTTTCAGAGTTTACCATCTATCACTCTACCCGACATCCCATAAAGGCATTTTCATCTATTTTGCAAACTATAGAGCCCTCAAATTACAATAGTGCTGCCAAAGATCCTAAGTGGCAAGATGCCATGAAGAATTTGATGCGCTAATTTCTAATAACACATGGACTCTCTGTCCTAGACCACCTCATTGCGACATTGTTCGGTCCAAATGTGTATATAAAATAAAACAGAAGGCTGATGGCACCATTGATCGATTTAAGGCTCGACTTGTAGACAAAAGTTTCCAACAAAAGAGTGGGGTAGACTATCACGAAACCTTTAGTCCTGTGATCAAGCCCACAACTGTCAGATTACTATTAGCATTAACTACTCAATTTGACTGGCCTATTCGTCAACTTGATGTATGTAATGCTTTTCTTCATGGAACTCTTGCAGAGAAAGTGTTTATGGAACAACCACAAGGATTTGTGGATCCTACCTATCCGAATTATGTGTGCTCTCTGAACAAGGCAATCTATGGTCTTAAACAAGCGCCAAGGGCGTGGTTCTCTCGCCTATCAAATGTTCTTGCCGACTTTAGTTTCCTTGGCTCTAAAATGGATTCATCATTATTTATCTATTATGCCTCTGATGTACACATTTATGTTCTTATCTATGTGGATGATATTCTTGTTACAGGCACTCATGTTCATATTATTCAGGAAGTTATTCTCGCATTACAAAAGATCTTCCCGGTTAAAGATCTTGGTCTTCTTGCATTTTTCCTTGGCATTGAGGCATCTCGAGATTCCTCTAGACTTCTTCTGTGACAGGCCAAATATATTATTGATGTTCTTACCAGAGTTGAAATGATTGGCGCCAAGCCTTACTCGACTTCATGTGTTGCTGGCACTCAATTGTCCAAAACAGCTGGTGAAGCACTTCCTGATCCGACTCAGTACAGACATGTAGTTGGTGCCCTCCAATACTGTACCATTACACGACCTGAAATTGCCTTCCCTATGAATCAGCTGTGTCAACGTCTTGCCTCACCATCACAGCTCACTGGATTACGGCTAAGAGAATTCTTCGCTACTTAAAAGGGACGTGTTGCGGAAGCTCTCTCAAAAGGATCTTCAAACGGTGATTTTCCAGCCTCAGTCTAACGTACCTTTCTCTACCAACAACCAATCTAAACTGCTCCAAACCACAACCAATTGATTCACCTTGGTTGCTATTCAATTTTACCCACGTAGGACAAGAAAGGATGATGATTTATCGCCACAAAGGCTAAGAGAAGACACCACAAAGGTATACTATGAAAGAACTACCAATTGCATACGTTATACAAGCGTTTTGGACATTTCTGGACACCTTTTTCTCACACAAAAAGGGGGCATCCGGGATTCACTAGTTTCTTCTCTCAAAATCACACAATCATCATGTCAAAGAGGCTAGGGTTATATTCATATATATACTCTAGGGTTAGGCTTTAAGTTGGGCCATTAAAGGAGTAAACGGGCCAAGATTCAAGCCATCCATAAGGAAAACAATTGGGCCAGGTGTAACTTATGGACTTGGTTGTTGGACTTATTTCATTCATCGGCCTATGCCTATGAAATAATATTAACCCACGTTAACATCATAGTCCGGGATTTATTGGGTATCAAAAACCCAACAGGACGGTTGACCATGGTCTCTTCTATCAGAAAGGGAACATTCATCTATCCATCTATTGTGATGCGGATTGGGCAGGTAATCCTGGTGATAGAAAATCAACAACTGGATTTGGTATATTTTTGGGCTCATGCTTAATCTCTTGGGGTGCTAAAAAGCAACCTGTGGTCTCTCGTTCAAGCACCGAGGCCGAATATAGGGCAATGGCCGTTACTACTGCGGAGTTATATTGGTTAAGAATGTTGCTACGTTTACAAGTTCCACTTCCTTCTCCTCCAACATTGTGGTGTGATAATGCTAGTGCCTTAGCGTTGGCCTCAAATCCCGTATTTCATGCTCGCAAAAAGCATATTGAGATTGATTATCAATTTGTACGTGACAAAGTTGTTAATGGAGATATTTTAATTAAATTTGTTTCTACTGAGCACCAAGTAACAGATCTTTCCACCAAGGGCCATAGTGCACCACAATTTTTACATCTTCGGTCCAAGCTGCTGGTTAGCTCACCTCCCATCAGCTTGCGGGCGGGTGTTGAAGAAAATATCAATTAGCAGCCCCAGTCTTCTCAAGCAAACTTCTTGCAATCAGCAGATTACTTACCTCAATCCTCTCCAGCAAATTACTTGCCTCAATCATCTCCAACAGATTACTTGCCTGATTGCGAGGAATTCCAACAGAAGAGCAGCCTAGAATCACGTCCAATTGTTTACTGTAAATCTTAAATTTAAGGACTCATTTACTGCTAAACATGTATATATACATATGTGCTGTAGTGTAAATCATTAAGCTGAAAATATAGTTTTTCTCCAGCATTACCTCTTTCAATATTTCTTCTCCTGCCACCTTTTTTTTCTCTCCTAAGCTCATAAATATGGTTGTAATGAGTCATATACATCCCCTCTCCCTAATAACCGCTTTACATTCTTAGAGTTAAGGTGAAGTCCGACTATTTACCTTTTTCTTTTTCTTATAAGGTTTGGATTTGATAACTTAAAGTGGCTACTAAGAAAAGTTGATGATAACATGAAAAGGGTTGTGATCAGAGAATAGAATTTTATTTGTTTGCTCCTATGCGTCACGAAGTGTCCTCAATATGCTTATCAGATTACACCGGATGATAATAGCGTGATCTTATTTTGATTTTTGCTGATATGTACAGCACTTCAGGTCTCTTCTCAGAAAAGAAAAAGATTTGACGAAATGTTACGTAGATCATTTATTAACCTGTTTGGGTAAATTTCTTCATCTATCATATCAAGTCTTGTCCAATTCAATGTCACAAACATGCAATGAATATCTTTCCTACAGTAAATATCATTTGTATTTCTTCAACTATATTCGTCGATGCATTAAGAGCTTTTTTTCTGGAGGTAGAATACCTCTCTCATTTATATTTAACTCTATTTGTTCCCAAGAATTTTCCAAAGCTCACTACAAAGGGCAAACTTAATGGCGTCAGCTTCACGTGATACTAACAGGGAATATTTAACATTTGTAACAAAGGTCAGCCACATACTTCCCAGCTCTTGTACTTTTCACCCTCATGTCATCATCATATTGTGAGTTGGTTCACAAACATTGTATATACCATGCCATCTCAGATGGCTCCAATGTTCGTTCAAACTGAACGGCATAACTTCTTAGCAATAGAATCCTCAATCTATGATGAACAGCTCATATCATTTCATTGCACCCATGATTAAGTCGGTCATTCTTGGAAGAGTAATGTTATCTTCATTCATGCATATTGACTACACATAAAAATTTGAATAGTTCCATGTAGCATAATAGGTGTTAGCACCGGTCTACATAACAAGACGGGGATTCATGACCTTTTTTCTATTTTTTAATCATACATTCTAAAAAAATCACTTTTTAAAAGTCAAAATAAAACAAGAGCTAAATGATAGGTTCGATTAAATACATGGGAATGGGTTAATGAACTAGACCTATCATTTAGTGAAACATGGCACCAGCGGTGCTAGATAGAATGCCTCTAAATTCTTTTAACATCTGGAGTAGCCTTATCTCCAAAGCTATGTTGCATAAAAATTAGCTATACTTTGTCCATGTGTACTCTTGTGAAACCCAAAAATAATAATAATAATAATAATAATAATAAAAGTGAAGGGACTATTGAGAAAAATAAAAAATCCAATATAACAAACAAAATATTAAATATCCACAACCAACTAGCATTGGAGTTGATTCAAATTTGTGTTGATTCAAACCTCATGATCGAATACATAGTGTAAATTTGTTTATTTATCCTCTAAAGCACAGAAGATGTGTTGGTTCAAACCTAATCCAGTGTTGATGCCATGTAGCCACCTTCAGACTGATGCATAAAGATATTACCCGCAATCTGCATCTTCCATTCCAATTTTTGTGATCGAATCAGTTGATCAGGATTAGATGTCATTCCATAATCACAAATTCACGTGTTAGAATTTTCCAGAAAATATAATTTGTAATATTACTAGAACAAACAAAAAGGCATATAAGGAAAAATTTCAAACAAGGCTGGTTTCTCAACAGAATAAATATCATAATAGTAACTAGCAGACAATTTTTCTCATAATATCATATTAAAGGAACCCATCGAAGGAGTTGCGGACACAAATATTCTAAAATATAGACTGTGATAAAGAAACCTGTAGAGGAGTTGTAAACTACTGGATGATGATGGAAAACAAAGATGTCAAGTGTAGTGGAACAGATCTTCAATTCCTGGAATTCGAGCTCATTATACCAATCCCAACCTTATCAAACACACCCAAGTAATGGCTCCAATCCACAACTATTTTTACTTCGGTTGCTCAACTCAATGTATTCACAAAAGAAGAGAGGAAGACAAGTTTCAACTACAAGAGAGAGAACACAATAAAAGTTGGCGGCCTTTTCTCACAATTGTGCGCACACACGGCTTCTTCAAGCAGTGAGGCCAATATATTTTTGGGGTGTAATAGTAATAGGCTAATATAGTGGGCTCGGGGACCAACACATGGTAAAGGACCAAAACACAAAAGATAGACATCCAAGAAGTAAATGGGTAGTGAGCAACATTAATTAAATTAAGTTGCTTTCAATGACCCTCAAGTTGTTTTTCGGGTTAGGCCAATTAATTGAGTGTGTTGATAGATATTTCACTCAACGACCGAAGGCTATGAAATATAATCCGAAAACTGTTTAATCTCATTGCCCAAGATTTATTGGGTATCAAAACCCAACATCATGAAAGGAAATTTACCTCGTTCGAGTTTTCTCTTGGCAGCAAGGTTTTTTCCATTGTACACGAGCCTCATGAATGTGTTCTTTGCAATAAGCCATCAATAGGCTTTGTATTTTATAGTCATGTCAAACTCGATAGTAGATTTCATCTCCATCCTACCATGCCAAAAGCAAAATAATGCAAAGAGGGTGACTAGGGTCTAGGGACCATACAAAAACAAATTGAGCAGCATACATATTTTTCATATAGGCAATTAATATAAACAAGATGCCAAAAAATATTTCACTCGAAACTTCGTACTTTTTAAAGATGTTGGTATCAGATTCAAGCTGCATATATACCAATATTATACTAAAAGTGATTCCAGTAGAAAAATATTTAGATATTTTTCTCTTAAAGCAACGTAGTATATATGCAAATATCATTGTGAAGTAAATCTTCAATTAAATCTCAGATTTTCTGCTGCAATTCATTTCCTGTCGACTTTTTTTTTTCTTTTTGGCGGGAGGGCGGGGGGGGTTGGGGGGGATTATCCTGGAGACTTTTTACTAGACCTCTTAGATAAACTCTAGAAAGTGCTCCCATTAGCCAAATCTTTTAACTCCTTTGAGTTGTGAAAGTTCTTTAACTCTGTTTTTCTGTAATTCAAAGTTTTAGCCTCAAACTCAAATACTTGAAGAATGTAACAACGTTTGAAGCATCTCTAGATGCTCCTAAACAACACCCAAGGCAGATTTTCTAGAAACATTTAGCAAATCATGTTGAGATTTTTAATTTTTCACTAAATTATTGTTGGAAAATGGAGCTTTTTTGCATAATTTTGAGTGGGGCTCACTTCTTCTTTCCAAAGATCAAAATAAATTCGTATGCTCTTGCATGATAACATGAAAATCATATATTTACTTGGCCAAAATGATGATCGAATGTATGAAAACTGAAGTTTAAAATGTACCTGTTGTTAGTGGTTTAAGTGTTTGAGGGAGAGTATGTTTGCTTTAATAACGAATTGTTCGCTTCGTTTAAAGCGACTAAGAATGGGAGAAGCTATTTATGGAAAACTGAACAAAATTTGAGATCAAAGATCAAGACATGGATGCTATGAAAATGACTTCTAGAAAAGAGTTGACTCTTAACAATATGGTGTATGTACCAAAAATCTCCAAAAAATAATACTAATAATAATAATAATAAGGTGTTGACAAATTCATTTTATCTGAGAGTAAAATATTTGTTGGCAAGAGTTATGCATCTCATTAGCTATTTAAGCTCAATGTAATGTTTGTAAAGTCAAAAACAAATAATGTTGATTAATTCTTCTGTTTATTTGCTTGAGTGTTTCAATTTGTTAGCATGGTGACTAGAACATGTTAATTGTGATAGTTTGGTAGAATAAGTAACTAGAATTTCATGCCTGCATTTCGTATTTTTCTAAACAAAAGCACAAGACTTGTGTTGAGTTAAAATTAACAAAGTCATCATTTCAATCTATTGACATTAATATAAAACCACTTCATTTAATTTACAGTTACATATATGATTTAAAATAAGTAAAAATAATAGGTAACAACAAATACGTCATTACTTTTATTGATAATAGTACAAAATACTATTTATGTGTACCTTGGCGATGAAACTATAGAGAAATTTGTCATTTATAAGAATGAAGTTGAAATTCAACTCAATAAAAAATTAAGATATTGAGAAGTGATCGAGGTAGTCGCGATGAAGCCCCATTTGCTGAATTATATTCAAAACATGGGATCGCAAATGAAACACGTCACTTATTTACCCTTGCAAAATGGTGTTGTCAAACGAAAAATTGTACTTTAAAAGAAATGATGAACGCAAATTTAGTAAGTTCATCGTAACATATGAGGAGAAGTTGTGTTGTCACCAAATTACCATCTAAATCAGGTGCCTAGCAAGGGGGAAAATACCCTATGAGTTATGAAAAAGAAGGAAGATTCCTATAAGTACTTAAAATTACAAGGGTAACTTGCCAAAGTGGTGTACCTACACCAAAGAAGTTGAACATAGACCCAAAAACTTAGATTGCATATTCATTAGCTATGCACCTAATAGTGATACTTTTTGATTTTTTGTGCATGAGTCCAAAATCTCAGATATACACAAAAATGCGATAATAGAATACAAAGATATTTCGCCTTTGGACATGTATTTCGATATAGATCTGGCAAGAAAAAAAAGTTCCTCTAAACAAACGCATAAAACTATGGTCTACAACAACCAAGACCAAGGACTAGAAGAAAAATTGAAGGTTGAACCAAGACTTCGCAAAATAACAAGAACACAAAAATCTTTTGGTCCTAAATTTCTAGCTTTTATGGAGAAAAGTGAACCTCTAATCTTCCAAGAAGTTGTCAACTCTTCAGAAGAATCTCTATGGAATGAAGCCATTAAAAATGAAATAAACTCCATTGTGGAAAACCACACATGGGAATTGGTGGATCTTCCTCTAGGATGCAAACCATTTTACAAATGGATTTTCAAAAGTAAAATGAAAGTAGATGGAATTGTTAAGTAGAAGGCAAGACCATTGATAAAAGACTACATACGACAAGAAGGCCTAGATTAATTTGATAATCATTATCTAATAACAAGAATAATGTCTATTAAGATGACACCTAAAACAATCATGTTATTTTATGTCTTTACATTAACGACATGCATATTGTTAGTAGCAAATAAGATGATAAAATCTACTAAAAATATGTTGAATTTAAGATTTGTCATGAAAAATATGAGTTTAGCTTATATGATGCTTAATATTAAAATTTCAAGAACATCACGATGGTCTCGTATATTAAAATTTCAAGAACAAAACTAATAAATGTGTTTTTGCACACTTATTTAGGTCACAAACATGACTAATAACGAGCAAAATGATTGAATTGCGACTTAATCTCGTTACATTTGTGAATTGTAGGGAACACTGATAAACATGGTGAAATTTAGGAGAAAAGACGCGAAAAAGGACTAAAATGATGCAAAGTGAAAGTTCAGGGACCAAGGTGCAATTATCCAAAAGTTGACCCGACGGAAAAATTGAGAAATTGAGCCAATTGATGATATTTTGAGATAATGGAATAGAAAAAATGAAGAAAAGATGCCAAGAAGTGAAGGATTCAAGTAGAGGGACCAAAATGAATTTCTTCCATAGTTGGTAGCACTATGTGACCCTCTATGCGGCCGCATAGAGGCAAACCGAAAACTAAATATACAAAACTTTTACTCTATACGACTGCATAGAGATGCTCTATGCGGTCGCATAGAGCATTTTTTAGGGTAAATTCGTAGTTTCCTTATTCCGTCGAAACTCTTATGGAAACAATCTTTTTAGGATCCTATATAAACGAAAACTCGACCGAAACGAAGGGGACGCCATTTTTATAAGAAAAGGAGACATTTTTAAGGAAAAAACGAAGAAAGAACAAGAGGAAAACATCGCGCCAAGTGAAGATTCGATTGAAACTTGATTCGGGTGATGACGTTTCTTCAACTGATTTTGTATTTTCTTCTTTATTTTTTATTGCTAGGAGATCGATGAACCTTGTAATACTATGTTTGATTTGGATATTTGACATATTTAAACGCATGTTCCAGAATTGAATGATTTATTACGTTTCTATTTCCATGGTCACTTCGAAGAACTGGGAACTATGACTACAAAGTCAGTGTCATCTATTCAGCAACCTCCCAAGTTGGAACTCAAACAATTGCCACCCCACCTTTGATATGCTTACCTGGGAGAGTCTTCTACACTCCCGGTTATTATTTCAAATACTGTCAGTAAAGTGGAGGAAGAGAAACTACTTCGGGTGCTAAGGGAGAATAAAATAGACATTGGATGGTCAATTGCAGATATCAAGGGGATCAACCCATCGCTATGCATGCACAAAATACTTATGGAGGAAAAATCCAAGCCAAGCATTGATGGTCAGCTGAGATTGAATCCACACATGAAGGAAGTGGTTAGGGCTGAGGTATTGAAATTGCTCAATGCAGACATCATCTACCTAATATCAGATAGTGGATGGATCAGTGCAGTACAGGTTGTTCCCAAGAAAGGGGGCATCACAGTGGTGCAAAACGAGAAAATTGAGTTGATTCCTACAAAAACAATGATTGGATGGAGAGTTTGCATTAATTACCGCAAACTAAATGCTGCTACTCGAAAGGATCATTTTCCACTACCGTTTATTGATCAGATGTTGGAGAGACTAGCAAGGCACTCGCATTACTGTTTTCTAGATGGGTACTCCGGGAATAATCATATTCCAGTAGCACCTGACGATCAGGAGAATACAACTTTCACATGTCCCTACGGTACCTTTGCATACCGTAGGATGCATATTGGTTTATACAACGCTCCTGCCACTTTTCAGCGTTACATGATGGCTATCTTTTCGGATATGATTGAGAAACTCATCGAGGTATTCATGGACAACTTCTCAGTGTTTAGATCTTCGTTTGATGAGTGTTTGGAGCATCTGAGTCTTGTATTACAGCGGTGTATAGAGACCAATTTGGTATTGAATTGGGAGAAATGTCACTTTATTGTACAGGAGGGCATCGTTTTAGGATACAAAATCTCAGCAAAGGGTATTGAGGTGGACAGAGCAAAGATTCAGGTGATCGAGAAATTACCACCACCAACATCAGTGAAAGGTGTTCGTAGCTTTCTTGAGCATGCCGGGTTCTACAGAAGGTTCGTCAAGAATTTCTCAAAAATTACTAAACCACTGTGTTGTCTGTTGATGAAGGAATTCACATTTAAGTTTACGGATGAGTGTTTACTGGCTTTTAACACCTTGAAAGAGAAGTTGACTTCAACACTCGTAATCATCACACCGGATTGGAACCTGTCATTTGAATTAATGTGCGACGCCAGTGATTTTGCTATTGGGGCAGTATTGGGACAAGAAGAAATAAGATATTTCACGTGATCTACTATGCAAGTAAGACCTTGAACGACGCTCAATTAAACTATGCCACTACAGAGAAAGAGCTCCTTGCAGTAGTCTACACCTTTGACAAATTTCGATCATATCTTGTGGGGTCAAAGGTCATCGTTTACACAGATCACACTACTATCAAGTACATAATGGAAAAGAAGGATGCAAAGCCACGTCTCATTCATTGGATACTGTTGCTTCAAGAGTTTGATCTGGAAATTAGGGATAAGAAGGGCAGTGAAAACGTGGTGACAGACCACTTGTCTCGACTCGAGACCACAGAGCAGACAGAGACCGTGGAAATCAACGAAGTCTTCCTAGATGAACAGAATTTTTGTGTGGGAGAGGCACCCTAGTATGTCGACATAGTTAACTACTTAGCCAGGTCTATCATTCTGCTAGATTACTCAAGTCACCAGAAGAAGAAATTTTTCGCTAAATTGAAGTTTTATTTTTAGGAAGACCCCATTTTATACAGGCGAGGAGCTGATCAAATCGTTCGTCGTTGCATACCTGAGGAAGAAGTGCCTTTGATCTTAGAATATTGTCATTCATCTACATACGCAAGGCATTTTGGTGCTTCAAAAACAGCGACAAAAATCATTCAATCAGGTTTTTACTGGCCTACGTTGTTTAAGGATGCTTTGGAATTCGAGAAAAGGTGTGACCGATGTCAACGCACCGGTAATATATCTAAGAGAAATGAAATGCCTTTGAACCGTATCCTAGAGGTGGAACTATTCTACGTCTGGAGGATCGACTTCATGGGGCCATTTTCCCCGTCACTTTCTAATCAGTACATATTGGTGGCTGTAGATTACGTATTGAAGTGGGTAGAAGGCGTTGCATTGCCTACCAACGATGGGAAGGTGGTGATTGATTTTCTAAGGAAAAATATTTTCACCCGCTTTAGCACACCGAGAGCTATAATCAGTGACGAGGGCAGACATTTTTGCAATCACCAATTTGAATAGTTGTTGACTAAATATGTCATTAAACATTGTGTAGCCACTGTATATCATCCACAAACCAGCGGACAGGTTGAAGTGTCCAATAGGCAATTAAAGCGAATACTTGAAGTCACAGTAAGCTCTTCACGAAAAGATTGGTCTAAGAAACTGGACAACGCCTTGTGGGCCTATAGGACTGCATTCGAGACTCCTACAGGGATGTCACCATATCGACTGATTTTCGGGAAGGCATCCTCTTGAGATAGAACACCATGCTTATTGGGCAATGAAGAAATTGAATTTGGACTTGAAGGCTACGGGTGAAAAACGTCTACTACAATTTAATGAGTTGGATGAGCTCAGAATGGAGGCCTACGAGAATTCAAGACTCTACAGAGAACGCACCAAGAAGTGGCATGATATGCATATTTAAAGGCGTGAATTTAAGGTGGGGCAAAAAGTGCTACTCTACAACTCTAGGCTTAAACTGTTTCCAGGAAAGCTTCGATTGAGATGGTCTGGTCCATACACTATTACACAGGTATTTTCATATGAGGCAGTTGAGATCACTCATGAGAACAAGGGGACATTCAAGGTCAATGGATAGCGTTTGAAGCACTATTGGGGCGACGATTTTTCAAAGGAAAAGTCTACCGCTCATCTTAGACCACCAGAATGATGTAATACGGTAAAGTCGAGCTATCGACTATAACCTAGCGCTGGGTGGGAGGCAACCCACTGTATCCTTTGATTTATTTTAATTTTAACATTATTTTAGGAGTTGTTTAATTTTCGTATATACATTTTTTTTTAGGTCATCGTTCATCCATGCATGTCAATAAAATCTAAGTATCGTCCACATAAATTCCTAAGCATTGAATACATGTTCGGTAAGTTTGGAATGGTTTTGGGTGAGTGGGAGTCTAATTTTCACGCATTTCAAGACAAAAGGATATTTTCAAAAAAAATAATTTAAGAGAAATGTGTACTAGAGTATTCAACAAGGGAAAATAAATTTTTGTATCTCATTATGTTTTTTTTTTTATATATTAAAAAAAAATTGTCTATCCGATCGCATAGACCCCAACCGAACCAAAAAAGAGGAAATTTTCTTTCACTATACGACCGCATAGGAATCAACTATGTGGCCACATAGTAGTGGTCCGGTCATGGACTTAAGCCATGACCGGCTCATTCGAACCCACTTTCCCCATTTCCCTCTCCCGTTTCTCTCTCAAACCCTAGGTCCCAAAAATTCCCATCTAACACACATACACCCACCAACATTCCCAAACCCTCCTTCATCTCTTCAATCATTCCCGCATTCATCACACACACCTAAGGCGAAAAAGGTATGAACTATATTCCTTCTCCTCATTTCGACTTTGGTTTGTAAGTTACTCACAATTTACAATTGGGAATTGAGTTGAAAGGGTGTAAGTGGGCTTGGTTTATAGCTTTGATTTATGTTTATGCATTGTGGGTGATTATACTTCACCAAGTATTCATAGAAGGGTGTTGAATTTATTGCACACAACATGTTCGATAAATTGCCTAAGTGACGGTTATTGTGCATTTTATGCAATCCCGCATTTGATAATCTGAATATGTACATTAACATACACATTGCGATCAAATGCCATAAAAATTGAGCTCGAAACACACGCTCACCAACCACACACATGTAGGCACACATGTTAGGTTAAGTCACTTCACCGTACCCACTTCGTCCCTTGCGTTAAGTACCCGTAAGACATCCCATGGGTTTGAAATTTGAATATGTATCACTCCACACTACATACTTTCATACACCCAGAGGTTGCTCGGGAAAAATTCGAGTTTTCTCGATGATGTCCGGGGGTGAAAGTGCGCACTTAATCATGAGTCACTTGACACAATTTGGATGTTTTGAGCTCCGTTTGTGTGCATATTGTTATTTTGCCTTCCTTATACGTTCTTGAACATGTTTTCTTAAAGTTTTCATTTTATCACATTCACAAACACTTGAAAGGCCATGTGAACCATCAAATCCATTTTGCAACACGTAGGCACATGGCTAGGTCACGGCATGCCACGGCACCGTATGTCCCCTACTTTACACCATTATTTGACATACCAAACGAAGTCCAATTGATTTGAAATTTGAGTATATGGTAGATCTCATTGATTACTTTCATATGTCTGGAACTTGTGGGGAAATTTTCGATATTTTTCGATGATGTCCGGGGCCGAACATGCGCACTCGGTCATGGGTTCGATTTTTCAACTATGCATGTTTAGGCCTAATTTGCTTAGTTTTCTTTTTGGCACACTATTTATACTATCTTGAATATCATGTTTTGAAGAGTGCACACCAAGGAGTTATATATGCATGTTGAATCAAATTTGGGGGATTTGTGAATTACATATCTTGCTAATCTCATTCTCTCTCTCGTTTTTCAACACAAAGTTGATGAATGTTATGTTTCCACCCTTGCAGGATGCCTCCAAAAAGAACATCAAAAGGAAAAGAGAAGGTTGGTTCCACATCTGGCACAGCCCGGACTAGGGAGCCTGAAGGGGGTGTCAGGTAATTTCTATCTTCGGACAAAGCAGCCCGTTACACCAATGTTGCCCGTGAGTGGGCTCTCATCCCCGAAAGGCCAATTAAGTTGGATGATTTCCCTGGTTTTGAATTGATTTATTTAATCCACAGCTATGGTTGGGAGAAATTGATTGAAAGACCGCACCAAGTATATGAAAAGGTGAGGGAGTTCTATGCCAACTTCAATACAGAAATAGACATGCCTGGATCGGATCATCTGCATCAAACATGGATTCAGTGTAAATGGATTATGTTTTCACCAGAAGTAATTCATGACTACTATCAGCTAAACTGGAATAATGTAGTCCCAGTCCCGTATGATTTCAACTGGATTGAGGTTGCAAAAGTTTTATTGGGACATACAAATGCTTGGCCTTTCCCTACTAAAGATTGGCATTAGATTGACCCACCCCATCTATAGCCATCCTATGGTTGTTCATATGCCACAACGTCAAGCCCATATCCCATAGGACGACATTCACAAATCAAAAGACGAGGTTTATCTATCATTTAGTTCGGGGAAACAAGATTGACTTGGCCACTTACATCTACAACAAAATACACATTGCAGACGCATGGGGCGACAAGCATACCTCGCTGATTTTCCCAAGCCTAATCAGTGGGATTTGTAGAGTTGCGGGCATACAAGTTCAGCCTGGGAGGCACCAGAGAAGCCAAGTCCCTTTATCAAGCGCCTCACACTCGAGGCCCAAGATCGAGCCCGAGTTAAACATCAACAGAAGTTGGAAAACGAGCAACGCCAACAGCAACAGGCTGAGGAAAGACAAACAGCTGAGGACTTTGAAATGCCACAAGCTCCTCCACCACCGGCTAATATGGATACCCAGTTATTGAGGTAGAAGTTTACCACTATGACAGGACATAGCCGAGACATGCAGAGTCTTCAACACTCATTTGGAGCACTGAGTACCATCATGCAGCAGGTACAGACTGATATCGCAACCACACGAAACTTCGCTTCCACTGCCAGCAGTGAGTCCTTTGTGGCGCAAAGACAGATGAGTTGACGGGCGATTGGGTATGTACGTTGGCAAGATGGATGGTATATAGTGGCAGGTAAACGAGACATGGGACCGTCTAGGGAGTTTGGAGACCAGGGTTCAGGCCATGCAGGTGGAGCAGACCCGGAAGTCTGACTTATTGTGAGAGATTTTATCCCACCTTCCTCTCCCTCCTAGAGATGATGCTGCCGGATCCAGCCTTCCATCACAGCCACCATTTTGATCAGGGGAGTACTGTTTACCCCATTTTGATTTTTTTTCTTCATTTTGTCATTAAAATTATGTCTTTAATCTATTGTTAATCTTACATTGAGGACACTTGACATTATCTATGCATGTTATTCATGCTTGACATATTAGGTGAATAACTGGATTTTGAGCATAAAGTAGAAAAAAAATTATAACCCTCTATTGAATTAACCAATAAACTACCTT